GGAGGGTGAATAGGAGCTCATTCAAAAGTCAGTATCCTGAAGTGACGGAAATATCGTGGGATTAGTCTACATGACAGTTATTACTACACTATAACTTAAATAAACATTTTAAAACGAAAGCATATTTTGGAATTTCGTCAAAGGTTTCAAGACCTGGCACATATACAGTTACCCCTTAGTCGCCGTCGGTTTAGCGGTCGGTTCAAAATATGTAAGACGCTGCCGAACGTTGCTAGCTATAACATACATTTTATTACCAGCACCTGCACCCCTCCACGACACAAACCTTTATCGACCCAAAACCCAAAAACGAACATACGCCCGAGCGATCAATTTTGTCAGAGTTGGCTCATGATGCCGCTGCCAGGCGTGCCACAGAACTGTTTATGCATCTGGTTCATTTACTGGTTATCACAGACAGACCTACTGACGTTGTAACTCTACATCAAATCGACACAGCTAAGATACTGCCTGCAAAAATCCGATATCGATTTCCTTATTCAAATGAAGGGGGAGTCAGCGCCAAATGTTCATCACTGAAGTCATCTGTCTATGAGACGAATTCAAAGATGATTGAATTTACCTATCGATCGACGATAGCTGTTTAGCCCAAAGAACCTTGCAGATGTCTGTCAGAGGGCTCAAACCAGACAGCGTCTGGCCACTTTTTAAAATATTGCGGATCAATAACCTGTCACGAAAAGCTCTACTGAATGTCACTTAATTATTCTTGTCGGAGTTGGTCGATTTGCCCATTGTCGACCGCCGTAGTCTTCTGAAAGAATAGTCCAATTGAATGGGAATAAATAATTTTTGTATCTGCAAAATGTGAAGATGAATTTGATGTTACATAGAAGGCTGCTCTACTGCGAGGTACACACCATACAATTTGGAGAAGTTAGCATTGGACGCAACCACCGGTTTGGTTTAGACAGCACAAATATTGATTTGATCACATATTAATGCGTTCCCTACCCTTTTACGTGACGGCAAATTTATGAAGGCCCTTTTCTCCTGTGTGCCTCATTTCCAGTCGTAACACGCAATGGTCGCTTGTTAATTCAACAAATTTAAACCGCACTCGCAAAAATTAAAAGTTCAAAACTCCTACACTGTTATTGATTATCATTACCACTCGTGACCATGACGACTTAAAAAACGTGTTTCTAAAGTATGGACGCCAAAAATGCATTCTTTTAAATGCCTTGCTTTGAGATTTTTAATTTCAGCTATTGTTCAATGTGTGTGCGCAGGCATGGATAAGTAATCACGTAGTAAGATGCTAGGAGTAATCGTTTTATCTAAGTTCTGAAACGTTATCTTTTTCACTTAAACACATGTCCAGGTTCACAGACTACGTCTTATTATAGTGAGGACATCCGCGTAGGTATCAAATAGGTCACGCGTGTGTTCCTTGCCCGAATAATGAAGAACAGATAAATCGGATTTTGTGTTACAAGTCTCAAATAAAGGAAGCTTTTTAAAACAGGTACGCGAGTAAGCAAGTAAGTGAAACATTAAACCCACTAACTTTTAAAGAAAACGCAACGGTTCTCGATGGAAACGCAAGTTCGATACATTTTTTTGTACTAAGTGCCCGTTACAAGCATGCCTGTAGACTGCATTGTCCTGAATGCACGTTTTGCTTTACCTTCTAAACATCGAGCCTTAAGAAACATTTGTCTGGTAGAATTGCGCAATTTGTATTCAGAAAGTGCGGAGTAAACCTGGGGGCGTGTGTAACACTGTGGGATATCATTCAGTGGGTCAGTTACCTATTCTGTCAGTGCGAAAATTGTTTGTGTCCTTCAGTAAAAGATTAGGCTTGGGAAATAGCACATGCGGACAGGGTTTATGCAGGTTTGACTGGCAGCAGTTGACACGTTCATTCAGACAGACTGACGTACCGAGAAGGGCGCCCATTAAGACTGCTCATAAGAAAAATTCCAGAATTGTTCGCAGGCAAATGAGTTAGCTGGTTTTTGGACTGGTTGACAGTGAGACTATCCGAAAAATTTTAAATGCATGACCTACACGAAAGCTGACAGCATCTGATACATTTCCTCATTATAGTAAACTAGTGTGCCAGTCCAGTAAACAATCAGACGAATTAATAGCATTACGGACAAAGACATTGGAGACTGAGATGGCTATATCTGGCTTGTCAGCCCTTTTCATTCAACCATGTTCCACCCCCATGGAACACGGGTCAACAAGCTCGAGATTGGATGATTAGGGGCATTTGACTTCGAACCAACAGGTCACGGGATCGACCCCCAAGTGTTCCACACTCCGAGGTTGGGTATGGTTGGCTGACGACAGTTAATAAGCCAGCTGTGACCATGTTAGTCTCTCTTGTCTATGTCGGTAATGCTATTCTGCCTATAGTAAGCACTGCTGCGTGTTTGCTGGCGGTGCTCAAGAGAAAGCCCCATGGCAGAACTGGACGAGTGACTTCCGTAGCACGATCGGTGAGTGTCTTTCAACCAATCAGACGACAGTCAAAATCCTTGTGTGTGTGACTTAACATTTAGGGCACAACTTGAGATGGATTGGCCACTCTCTGAATACGTAGGCGTTTGAGGGTCGACATGACATCCAAGCGTACCATATCTTTGTCATTTTGGGCGGCCACACTGCAGGTGTTATTGAGGGGAAAAGGGGCCGATTTTGATGAAGGAAATAAACCCTTTCGAAAGAAGATGGATTTTTCAGGTATCCCTTGGAGCCAGCTGTGCCTTGACAGACTTGTTATACAAGCAAAGACACGAACAAAATTATAAACCACCTGTCTGATTCATCCAATATTAGCTACTCGCTCACTGTCTGCGTTCACAACCCAATTCCAAATTTAAACCTAGGGGATCAGTTGACAATGAAATTCTCTGAAACTCGTTTTTGCACTGTTGTTTCTCATTGGTATCCAATACTTAACATCTGTAGTGCTTGGGAGTTCGGTATAGACATAATGACTAGTACTTTGATGGGGC